ACCCGCCCCCGACCCGCCCCCGACCCACCCCCGACCCACCCCCGACCCCTTTGCTTTACCATTATCAAAAAACAATCAGATTTGGCTGTGGGCCATGACTGGGACACCAAAAATACAATAAACACATACAATTTTTTAGATTTCTATAGCGATTTCTCCTATTTCCTTTGTTTTTCCATGATTTTAAATAATTTCCAATGATTTTGGACAAAATCGATCAAAATCGATTGCGACGAAGACAAAATCAATGAAAATCGATCAAAACGAATCAAAATCGATCAAAATCAATGAAATTCAATGAAATAAGGAGGAATGGCCCTTTTTGCAAAAGATTGCGTTGCAGCGGCCTTTTTTCCTCCAATCTACGGAAAAGGTCACCATGCGGAGCTACCCGCTCAGAAGTTCTTTAAGGGCGGTGCTGCCCGCTCTCCTCTGGTGTAGCTTCAGGCGGCGGCGGTGCCAGGTCTTCCTGCCGCTTCCGACGTCGCCTGCGGCGAGACTTCTCGCTGGGGCCTTTCTCCCTGTGGGATGTTTTCTTCTCAGGGTCATTGCGGCGCCGCTTCCTCTTCCTGTTTTTTCTGGCGGAGCTGCCCGCTCTTCAAAATCCAAAACCTCTCCAGGAGCCACAGTTGGGCCTGAAGAAGCCTCAGCCTGAGCACTGGCCTCACTGGCCTCACCTGTTGCGGGCCTATCCGCTTCACATGGCAGGGTTTCCTGTGTCTCTCTTGATGGCTCTTCTGCCGTGCCAGGCGGATGTTTCCCAGTTGCTCGGCCTGAGGGCCTTCAAAGTGAAGTTCAGGCACTTGCGGCAATGTTGGCGCCGCTTTACACTGCTGCCACTGCTTTGCCTTTGCAACCCAATCATCGGGAGGGAAACCCAAGCTAGCTTGGAAAGCTTTTGCCCTTTCTAGCCAAGCTGATTTGTCAATGAAATCTACCCCCTCCAACATCAACTTGCGCCACCTTTTGCGCACAAGGAGTTCAAGGGGCAAGGCAGGAACCCGCAAACCCAATGGGCGCAGCAGGAATTCGTTGAATTCCTCTGGGCTCACATCTAGTGCTGCCGACATGCCATCCTGCGACATTGAATTGGCCATGCAGTTTTGGACCTCGCTCCATTTGCATGAGTCAGGCAACCACAGATCTAGGAGAAAGCTCTGCGCAAGCTGCCTTCAAACAAAAAATCAAGGAGGTATTGTTCCTCCTGATCCCACAATGTCAACAAGTCCTCACCAAGCTGTCCCGGCTGTACTTTCACTATACACACACATGCGGCTTGTCCCGCTGGTGTCCTCTTTTCCACGGAGCTACCCGCTGCTTTGTTCTCAGAAAAACACAGGTGTTCTAACCCATGTTCCTTTGCAAGCTGCGCTATCCAAGAGACTCGCGGGGCTGTCCGCTTTCGGGTCTTGCTTTTGAAGCCAGCAGCACCAACATCCTCCACTTCAGCGACTTCAGAATTCACCCGCCGCGCATGGCGAGCACAAAGAAATAGCAAAGGCATGAAAATGTTTGGTCACCTGGGTGAGAGTGGCCAGATTATGCACAAGTATCTTCATAAAGGTTAGGTTAGCTTATGATTTTCTGTGCTGTTTGTTGCTTTCAAGACTTTGATTGTGCGTA